CTTTCTCAATCCTCTCTGGATCCAGGTCACTCACAGGATGGGAAGCAAGATGGAATTAACTTGTTAAATGAAGGTACAGAGCCAGTCTTATGTCCTCCTTTTATTTTGTTCTTCATAGTTCTGGACTTTAGTACCTGTGAGACAAATTTTCAGCATGAAGAAAATACACATTGAGAAACATGTTTTTCATTGTTATGCCAAGTGTTTCAGTTTCCCTAAGAACTCTGCTTCAAATTAGTTTGGATTTATGAAGATACACACCCCACTCCTCTGTATTTAAAGCTAAGCTTCAGATGTCTTGCACATGTCTTCCTTTTCCATCACAGATCCAGTCAGCTTCACTACAAGGGGGTTCTGCTGACATCTTTCTGCTATAACAAACTTCTTATGTTCCTTTTTTTTGGTTTTAAAAGAATGATTAAATGCATTGGATTTGCAACTACCACTTTCATTCTTACATCTTAACATTTATCTGGAGATGCAGCCTGACAATGTTTCCATTAAAATAGAGAGAGGAACATGATATGAACTGTCTATATAAATGTGATATATGCACACACCCCTTTCAAACCTGGATGCTTATCAAAGCTTAGCTGCTCCATCTTGTGGGCAATTCTGAAAAAGCAGGAAAATATTGGAAGAATTGTGAAATAGTAGTATTTTGGGTATAGAAGGTAAATTGTTAAAAAAGAATCCTTTCTGTATCTCATCAATTCTAAGCTTTAAATAGATTTGCCAATACAAAACCTTAGTGTTACATAAGTGCTAAGCTTTCTTTTTTTAAAATATCAAGGATTAAAAAAAAATTATTTTTTCTTTTTAATTGTGAGCAGTATTAAAATCTAATTTAATCCAAGACTGATTTTAGCCCAGCCTGTAAGGCATGGATAGAGATCTCTCTACCACCTGGATAGGGAAGGTGTGGTTGTTGTCCTCCCAGTCACATTTATGAAACTTGCCTGTGCTGAAGCATACCATGGAATTCACAGTGTGTAGATTAAACAGTTTTTTCTGTTCTCTCATTTTTTATGGTGAACTAATCTTGTGCTGCAAAAACTATTAGCTGAATTCTTATTTTTCTTTGCAGGAAAGGAAGACACTCCATCATTGCTTGGTCTTTGTGGCTCTCTTACATCAGTAGCAAGCTACAAGTCTCTCACAAGCCTGAAATCAAGTGAATACCTTGCAAGTCCCACGACAGAGATGACAAGTCCAGGCTTAACACCATCCTGAGATGCACACAAGAAGGAAGAGCTTTATGTTGTATGCGTTTGATTTATGTTCCATGAGATGACTTGCAGTGAAGACTGCTAGTTGCGAGTTAAAAAATAAGCTGCTTTATTTTTTCTTGTCTCGGATACCTTTATAATTCACCAATTTGGTCAGTTTTCATTTGCTTCTTCTTTCCCCCAGAGGACTTTTCAGATATTCTATTTTAGTCTGGAATTATTTAAATCTCTTGTTCAGGTACAGAATGTATAATCTCATGTTTATGACTGGTTTTTAAAATGAAACAGTTGAAAATCAGACCCATACTTAAATGCCATCAGCTTTGTTTCTCCTTGCACTAGCCTGGACTGGCTCTAGCCACTGTACTCTGCAGTGCTTTAAATATTTATCAACTCCTGCAGAAGAGATAGGGAATCCTGAACACCAGTTTTTGTAGGAAAAAAATACCTAAAAATCCAGCTTTTCATCTGTGTATGTTGTGTAGGACCTCAGATAGCATATTTAACCTATCCACAGCTTCTCTCAAGTTGACTCAGTGTTAGGTTTTTGCATTACTGTTAATATGGCACTTAGGAGATGTCCCAGTCACACTGAAACACAAACACTTGAAATTGCATGTGAATAACAAATGTAACTTGATCATATCAATCAAGCATACATAGAGATTTGTAAAGGGTGAGCAAACTCACTAAAAATGCTTTTAAGTGGCCTGAGTTACAGATAATCTAACATTATACAAAAAGTTTCTTGCTGAAAAGATGGGGGCTATGGATGATGGGGATAAGCATCTTGCAAAGTTTGGATTCTGTGTTTATTGGCAAGATCCCAAGGAGGGTGAAAAAGGGGAAACAATGTAATGACTGTATTTGTGTGTTAGAAGACTTTTCTCATCCCTGTTGTAGTCCAGTAGGTATTTTTCTTGCTTAGGTAATGCAGCAGAAATTCTCTTAAGTCAATTTTCTCAAAGTATTTGCCATTGATTTAAATTACTGATAGGAGAAAAAAAAGGGAGACATTTTTTAAAATGTAACTAACTTACCAGATTACCCTACAGTTTCAGAGTTTGCAAAATAATTTTTGAATTGCAAACTATATTCTTAATTCTTTGTAAGATACAATGGATCCTTTATCTATGAATTTTGCTAATCAAGGTAATGCTTATCAGTATGATTAGTAACTTTTTAAACAAAAGTGAAATGCATGTAAGTATGTTGTATTTATAAGTGCTAGGGAAAATGCTTTTTTGTGCCAAAGAAGTTTCATAAATTGTTTACATGAGTAGCTGCAATACAAGACAGATTTTTAATTATTGCTTACTCCTAGGTGTTTACAGTATGTCACTACACTCTGTACAGGATTAGTTGATTTGCCTCTTGTGATGGTACCTTGGCACTGCTACTTTAAACTGGATATCATAGGGTGGGCTTGAAAGAAAGAAGATTCATTCTTGCTTTAACTGAAATATTTAGTCTTTTTAAGTAGGAGGCTATGCATTTCTGGAACTCAAGGCACGGTTGGATTTAGCTAGAGGATAAGAATCCATCTCCTCAACTCTCTAGTCTGTGCTGCTGGAGGACACTACATCCATGGCAGGGTACACAACCACTGATGCTACTATATTGCAGAATTTTAAAGCAGTTTAACAAAACCACGAGGTCTTTCAAGCCCTTGTGTACCCTCACAGGTAATTTCTCTGTAATAAACTCTGACCATTAAATCCTTTCATACACCTTTAGAATGTCCATTACTTCATGGAACTTTTTTCTGTTATCACATTAAGCACCTGTTTCTCGAGTAACATTATTAAATATAAATTTGTAAATTAGAGATGCATTTTTACTACAAATAAAATGAGGGAATCCAGATTCCACATGTTAACATTCTGCATCAATGTACAGTGATTTAATCGGTCTTGTTTGCTGTTAAACACTTCTCATGCCACATCAGTGTTTTGGAGGGGGCAGTAATCATGATCTTCAGTCATGTTCATTGATGGCTCTTTTCTTAGAGCTAAATGTGTTGTTTAGCTGAAGTCTTTTATGTAGTCTGACACGTCTTTCTGGGTGTCATTTTGTGCATGGGCAATCAGTTATGTGCATCTTTCTCAGTTCTAAACATTAACCATTTTTTAAAAAATAATTTTAAACCGCCAAACTGTATGTTTTGTTGCCTTGACCTTCCATGAATGTTGCATGTAAATTAAAAATTTTGTATCATCACTAGTTAAAACTTGTTGTCTCTGTTTTAATCACACAGGATAAAGTAAAACCATTCTGTAAATTACAGCATTACTGAGTTTATAGCAAATACTTTTCTTCCACAAGGGGGAGACTGGTTTTCTTGCTCTATATCATTGTGTCATCCAATATCTGCTGCTACTATGTTCTCTTAGGCTTTATTTTATTTTTATTTGAATTTACATTCAAAAGTCACAGTGGAAGAACAGTGTTACCCATCTCCTCTGGCAGCACCTCTTGCCTAATGTGGTACCTAATGTCTTTACAAGTAGAGCATTTTTCAGTGTGTGAGGAATTTTCACCATGAACTCCATTTCTTGGGTAAAGCACACCCAAATGAGTGTCTTAATGATCTTACTGAGTTATTTTTGTATCAGCATCCCCTCATTAAAATACACAAAAAAAATAGAATTCAACAACTGCATTGAAAATGCATGAAAAGAGGGAGGTAGTGAGGATAGTTAAAAAAGGATTTAAATCACACAGAGGCAGCTCTGATTTAGTAATTTGAGTGCCTACAGGCAAGTGCAGTGCTGCAGCTGATCCTACCAGGAGTGCAGCACAGGGGGCAGGGGGTGGCTGTGCCTATGGCAGCAACCTGCACACGCTCACAGGGCTGCGTCAGGCTGGCACACCATCACCCCTCCTTATGGCAGCAACCTTGGCCTTCCAACACAGGGTGCCCCACACAAAGTGTGCACGGAGCAGTGTGACAGTGACAACTGGCACCTCCCAGAAACAGGTTCAGGAGTGTTCCTGCAGAGCACCTGGACAGGCCTTTGGCCGCAGTGCATGCCTGTGCTTTAATTATGAGTATTACCTTAAACAAAAAGTCCCTGCTGCCCTATCACTGTATGCACCATGCTCTCTCAGTGTCTAATGAACACCAGTATTTTTCCAGTTTTACAGAATTTTTCACTTAAAATAAACCTGAGAAGCTTTAAAAATATGCACTTACACAAAATACAGAGCTGCGAATAAGAAACATGTACAGAATGAAACACATAACAAGCAGCAAGAATAAATAAGTATTTATTGAATTCACTCTGTATAAACCTCCTTACTGAGAAATAAATATATCTTACAATTAGAAACCCGAAACATTTTAAAACATAATTTTAAAACCTAACTAAAATGCTTAGGGTTATTTAGTCATTTTCATGACTAAAATTTTACACAGTGGAAGTCATTATTCTTCACTGTTATGTCCAGGCACAATTTTTCTTCTCTCTCTCCTTTCTTTTTTCTTTTGTTCTTTCTTCCTTTATTTTTTATCTCCAGCTGCAAGAGAAGTCATAAAATCTTCAATGATAGTTTAAGGGTGATGTGCATTTTCTTATTCTTAATAAAAAAGTGAATTAATCCTTTGTGAAAGTTAAAAATGAAGCTTTATTAGTTACCAAATGTAACAGTAGAAATTCATTGGGAATTCTAGAAAACATCTTCACAGATTTGGATTTGACACAACTTCCGTCTTACACTTTGCCTTCATACAATTGGACGAAGAAGAATTATGGATGTTGATTCTTTTTTTCATTTAAATGAGAAAAGAAAGACTTTCCATATTCATATGTGCTGATCATTATGGCACAAGCAGGAGCAACTTTAAACAGCCGTGGAGTAATACCTGCCCAGAAGAGAAAGGAAAGTATTCACTATTACTGTTTTCAGACCCAAATGCTGCAGTACAATGTGTTGATCACAAATTATCTATACCATAGTGTATCAGTTTAGAGCTGGGATTCTACCTGCTCACATGCCTCAAAATACTGAATTTACCAGCTGTAGGTATTACCAGTGTAATACCCTTATGGCCTCACCTCTGCTGTCTTGTGTGGTCTGCCTGCCTCAAGTCCAGTGTGTCTCTGCCCCCTCTGATTCCATGCAACCGGAGCACCTGGGCCTGCAGGGCTCCTGTGCTCCAGCACACAAGAGGTGGCCTCTACTAAAATGGACCCTGGTCACATGAATGAATGATGGAATGTAAGCGTTAAATATCTCACATTATAGTCAACTGTGATCTTACCAGTGGAGGTTAGAAAGTGATTCAGTTCAGAGAAGGGGAATAAGGCCAAATCCCCTTGTCCACACACAGCCAGCCCTCCACTTCCACTTGAAATGCAAAACATCTGCTGAGAGGCAGCACAGATGACACAGGACCTATGCAGAACTTGTGTGCCTTTGGAGCAGCAGCAAGGAGCCAGGCCGGCCAACCCCAGTCATCTCAGCTACGTGTGGCCAACTGAACTGAACTGGGCCTGATCAAGAGTATCTCTAAACTCTGCTACCCATGTGTCAAGACTGAAATGTGTTTTAATCTATTAACTGAATTCAGTATCAATATTATTGATACTTTGTGGTGTCTTGCATTCTGTTAGCATCCAGAGCCTGAAATATGCAAATCCTGTTACTCAGCTATGCCACCACTGTACAGCAAATAAAGCAGTTTAATCTCTTTCAGCAAACACAAGTCCTGCAAGGCTTAACCACCTGTGCAGCCATTCACACCAGGGCCCCAATGAGCCAGTGCAGTGTGGTGAAGTGAAGTCTGGTAAGAATCCTGGAGTTGGAATGTCTCTTGCCAATAGTAATTTCAGTATGAGCTACGATAGGATTTTATCTCAATATTATTTTAATCTCAGTATCTTGTCATTTCTGCCTCAGCCTGCCAGAGTCATGCAACAGAGGGTCAATGTTTTCCCCTGTCTTCCTCTGGTCACCTGTAGAAGCCTTTCTTGCTGCCCTTGACATCCCTGGCCAGATTCATTTCCAAACCTGATCTCTGTCTACTTGGACCATTTCTCTGTGACAGGTTACCTGTCCTGGCTTCCTTATTGTGTCTGAGCTTGTCCATGAGCTCCTTGTTCCTCCATACAGGCCTCTTGGAGTTTTCACCTAACTTTCTCTCTGCTGGGATACATTGTTCCTGAGCCTGGAGGAGATGATTCCTGAATATTAACCAGCTTTCTTGGGCCTCTCCTCCCTCCAGGACTTTATACCATGGTTTTCTACCAAGAAGATCCCAGGAGAGGCCAATGTCTGCATGTCTGTTGCTTTATATATGCAAACTATTGCATAGCTGACAGTGTTCACAAAAATGGAAATATAAAACTTACGCACTTTAAAATCGATAATTAAGAACTCTCTAGTCTGAATTTTTTTAGAGATAAGAAAAAATTTACCTGCAAATAATCCAGTAATCCCATTTCTAGCAGCAATTTTCCTCATAACTGCCCAGGTTGATTTACTGTCCCTCTGTGGAACTCAATACAGTACAAGACAACAGTGAATTCGGCAATCCATGCAATGCCACAGAATGATATTTTTAGAAATCAGAGACAGTCACAGATATAATTGTTAGGTTTAACTCCTTTTTTTGTTAATTTTATCCATCTTATTTATACAGTATGTTAAATTAATACAGTATGCAAATACACAAGTTGAAACAGCAAGACAGGGAAAAGACCTGTAGTAAAACCTAAAATAAGATGAACAGCTACTATAGTCTTTACTGGATTGATGACACAGGTGAAAAAAGCCAAAGTAGTTTCATAGAATACATTCATCAGGAATATCCCACAGCCCTTGGAAGCCAAAAAATATTTTTGCATAGACAAGAATATCATCAAATATTTTGAGAGACAAAATGTAAATGCATAGTCAGTGTCCAATTCTAACAGTAACTGGATTTGGAAAGAATTAAACTGGCACAAATTAAAGATTACCATAATAGAATTTTAAAAATATAAATTAATCTTATTAATACTAACCTAATAAATATATGGCAGACACATGTTTCAAAGTGGTGTTAGGAAGGAATTCCTACATTCATCAACACAGGAAAAGAATTAAAACCAGTAACTATTTATATTTAAAACTTTTTTAATACTTGTTCTGCAATCAAATAATAATAATTTCTTTCAAGAATTACTCTAGGAAAAAAAAATTAACTGAGAGAATGAAACCTCATGCCAAAAAGTGAGCACTTATTTTCTAAGCAGAAACTATTTGGATACCCAGCCTTTTTAATGGTTTGTGTTCTTAAAGCCATGATATAATATTTATTTAGGTTAATGTAAATCCTTCACTGGTCCACATCCCAAGCAATGGAAAAGAAAGGTATTATATACAACTTCAATTTTATAAAACAGAGCAGTGCTCTACTGACAAGAGCAAAACAGAAACTTCCTCTTTCATGCTTTAAAGATGTTGGAACATTCATTAATATGCCCTCAAAAATAATTTTTTTGAAATCTCATAAAAAGAAGGTGAAAAATACACAACCTGAGCACAATATTTCTCTTTCTACTCTAATACCTATCACAAGAATATTGCTACGTAGGAGCAAGTGGTAGTGAATGTTATTTTGAAGACTTCTTCTATAGATCACCGTTCACCAAATGTTTGCTATGAAGTTAATTTTTTGCCGGTTTAAATATAACTTACTTCAATCATAGAATACTTTGGGCTTATAAGAAGCAAAGAACCTTTATTGGTCATCTAGTCCAACATTCCTGCAGTAAGCAGGGACATCTCAAATTTGCAATTGGTCTGCCTAAATGTAATAGCTTTGGATTCCTTTGTTTCAATTTTGTACCATCTTATTAAGCTAAATTGTACTGAACTCTCACCTTTTCCCTCTTCCATGCCATCCATGAAATATGGTATTCTCCTAGGAGATAAAATGTATCTTATCTAGATACTGCAATTTGGGGAGGAAAAAATGCCTGAGTGATAAAATGTTTGCATATACTTTAGAAGTGGCAAATATTTACAATTCGTACCACAGGCCATACCCAAACACTAGGTTTTATTTTTTAAAACACTACAGTTTTTTTTTTACTTTGAAACACTAAAGGGTTTTTTATTCTTACCAACTTACTTACTAAAAGCAACTTACTTTTTAAAATCTCATTCTCCCAAAGCTGAGTCTGCCTATGTGTTTTCACTACATCAAATGGCTGAGTTACAACAGCTGCAATCTATCAGGAAATCAGTTTTAATGTTAGTGCACAAAAAATTAAAATTTCACCCTAAATTTTTAAATCAAAGTGCACACACAATTTAAAATTAGATTTGATATTCCAAGCACATTGTATTTTTAAGTCTTTTATGTCAGACCACTGTAGTTTATTCAGATTTTTTTAGTCAGGTTGAACGCCACACCACATGTGTTTAAAGTACAAGCACCCCAAAATATACAACATTTCTGAGAGAATAATCTAAAATGATTCATTTTAAAAACAGTTTATTAGTGCTAATTAAGAATAGTACTAGAAATGGAATTATATACTTACAGAGCCAGATGCTGCTCCTGAAGTAAAAGAAACAAAAAATGTGGGTTCATGTGCACCAACTTCCTTGCACATCATCTTCTTGAAACGTTCATAATTATACCAATACATTGCTATGATTACAAAAAAATAAACTTGCATTACAACAAATTTGTATCTCAAGTACAAAAATTCTTATATCAAGTCCAGATGTAAGAATTCTACTGTGGCAATAGAAGCAAACAGAAACAAGAGCTGAAAGCATAATAAATGTCCTATGTGATAACCCATGGACAGATTGCTGTGTTCTCCTTGTTCTCCATATCCCAAATTCCTTCATATGATACAAATTAGCCTAATCAGTTTGTCATTCCCTTAGGTAACCCCTACCTTCATGCAATCTAAACCAAGCACCATAAAACATTCAATTTAAAATAAATCAAAAGGTAGTCTTCTAATTACTCGCTATGTTTTCAGGCATATTTCACAGATCTCAGTAATTCTAGAAAAACACACTTAATACAAAATGAAATGTTGCCCAGGACTGCCTCATACTTTTTTGAGGCACAGTATAAAATTTATTTCTGAGAGAACCAAAAAAATATGATTTTGCTCCCTGGGGAGCAAATAGGCAAATGCCTCTCTGGGGACTGTCAAAGGAAAGTCCAGCAAACAACTTTCAGGAATAACATCTGTTTCTGTGACCATCTGCTGAACTGAAGTGCACTTTTTCTGCTTTCTAATTACAACTTCTAGTGATATACTACCAGGCTGAATTAGAGAGTAATTCATGGCAGTTGGTTGACTAAATATTGTAAATGACAGCTCCATATCCTGAAAGGTAACCATGTTCAGAACTGAGTTCTGGAGTTTGTGCCAGCAGAAAAATTGCACAGTCTTTCCTTGCATGAAGACTACCAGCACATATGCCTGGCCCCCAACATTTTACAAAACTAAAGGTAGGCAGTATCTCAGAAGACATTCTGAGGATTTGAGGAGAATGTTGAAATGTACAAAATGTACATTTATTGAAATGTATAAAAATTTAATTTAATATAAATTATCTAAAGCCAGAATTTTCTTAAGAACCTACAGGACTCATTTCCCTGAATACCATTTACATTTATATTGTCTGTGACACTGCTTAAAGAAGGACTCAAATATTATTATTATTAAACCAGTTTTTGTGTTTATAAGCATTTATAACTTAAGTTTTGTTCAGCCCGGCTAGCGTCCCAAGAAACATGACTGAAACATTCCAGGAACACTTGGGCTAGGAATAGAGCAGAATTCTAATTATCCTCCTGTGCTCCTTGAGTCTTGCTGTGCTGTTTGCCTGTTTTCAGTAGGACCTGCTTTCTCAACTCCATGTTACAGTGATTTTAACTCTTGAGATAGCTGACTTGAACTCCCTGCAGCAAAGGTGCAAACTGAGAGCACCAGAGATTCAGCTGCTGTTGGGCATCATTCAAACTGAAGAGCTCAGACTGGAGGTACAAAGGGAGGACACCATAGCAGGGAGAGAGCAGGTATGAGGAAGAAATTACCAGAAAACACAGTTGGAAAAGGCATTAAGCAGTATTAAACAACCTTAGCTTTACATAAGCTGAATTTTGTGGCATTAGGGTTTTTTTAAGTACATTTTCCTCTACTCATGCTTCTACTTGCCTGCTCACTATTGGCTGTAGCTCTCAACATGCAGCTACTGCCTTATAGGTTAATTTGTGCCTCTACCTACGTGCCCACAAAGTACTGGGCACAGATGAGTGAGTGGCCACTGGCTGTCCAGGGAATGCTAGAGCAGTGTGGAAACAGGTTAAAAATCAACAAGCCTGGCTTGGAGCAGTGGAGGAACAGCAGACATGGACACAAGAACCTGAAAAGTGCTACGAAGAATGCACATCACCTTAGTGCCCTCTTCCTTGTGCACTCCCTCTGATCTTCCCACTCTGTTAAAAGCAGCAGGGGGAAGGAAGCTCACAAGCTCCAGCCACACTGCTACAGACAAAAATCAATAAAAGAATAAGAGTTTCTACTTGAAGTCAGACAGCAGGAATCAGATGAAGAATTTGAGAGTTCCCTTACAAACCTTAGAGAACAGCCTAAGAGAAAATTGCATTTGGCAGAGAAGAAAAATAAGTAAATTAAAAATAAAAACTGAAGAGGAAACACTTCAGACAAAAGATTCAGATGAATTCTGGCAGTTGTCTTTAGCCTTAGTGAAACCATGTTCTCATAGGGTGAGAAGCCTTCCCTATCACAGAAGACTAAATAAGGTCTCATCAAAGAACTGGATCTTTAGGCAGGAAATACATTCCAATCACAATTTTCAAACACCTTCCAGTAGCTAAGTGAAACAGAACAGAGCATTATAAATTCTGAAAAGAAGACAGCTGAAATAACTTGGTTCAGTTTACTCACTTAACTACCAACAGCAACTTTAAAGTAAATATCCTCATCACACCCCACTTATGTCTCAGTTTGGTTCATGGCCAATTTAAAATTTACTCTGAGTACACACATCCTCTAACAGCCCAGACCAATGACTGGCCCCCAGTCATTGATTGGAAACACAAATTAAATTAGATATCAGAGCATCTTAAGAGTGAAGTAAGACAACAAAGATAGCAGGTCAAACACTTCAAGGGTTCTCTGACTCCAAAACCAGGTTTGAAAAAGAATCTTTCCAAAAATAGGTTTGAAGAATTTTTCTGGGCCAACATAAATTGTTTAAAGATTCCTGGTACTACCCCAATGACAGAAACTGCTTCAATGACAACTGATGTCTGATGATCCAAAAGTATTCTGACAAAAACAGGCCTTAAAGGGACAGGGGCTTGCTGGTGCTTTAGCAGTCTTCTCTGTACCATCTGTTGCAGTTACCTTAAGGAATAGCCCTAAGACCAGTTATGCTTTGAATCAGACTTTTCTTCTTTGAGGCTTTCAGCTTTCGAGTCTTGCTAAAGAGTTGTTTGGAGCAGTTATACAAATGAATTCATCTTGATTTAAAAAAAAAATAAAATCTTGAAGACACTACTGTGTCACTCTCTGTACATGTTTCCAAAATTATGTAAAAGAACATTTACATACAGCATGTTTATCAGCCACTATTTCTATTACAGAGAAAGTTTCCAGCTGAAACTCTTCAAAAGCAGTCATTGTGTAAGCTAGAGATGAGAAGAAAGTCTAAGTATAGGGAAAGGGAATGTAACAATGAATCCTATCTGGTATCCACAAACAAAATGGGGGGGGGGGGAAATCACATCTTCAAAGAATTTATAAATAAAAACACTCAAAAAAGACAAATCTCAGTCATTCCTAAAGCCAACCATTAAAACTACTTAAAAGCACAGAAAAATAATATAAAAACATAAACAAAAACCTGCATGGGAAATAACCCTTACCTGAGAAAGGTACATCTCTCAGAATAGTCGAAGCCCAGCCCTGCCACAGCGAGAGCCACCCATCCACAGTCACTTTGGTGCTGACACGCAGGTACAGCTGCTTGTAGGACGACCTGCGATACTGCATTTGGGTTTTGATCAGCTCCAGGGGACTCACCACGGTGGCAGAACCAACTGCAAAGGAAACATGGCTTTTTTAGAAAAATCAGTATTTAACAGTTCAATTTCCTGAGCATTCAAGTCATGCCTCACCTTACTTCGTATATTTGATTCTTTTCAACTCTTCCATTTTTTCTTGAACTAATTCCCAAAAAACATGTCTATTCACAGTACCTACATTTCCAATTTAGGGTTTTTTTCAATGCTTGCATATTGCAAACAATGTAACATGTTGAGAATCCTCATTTTCCAGATTTGACACATAAATAGGCTGAAAAACTTCAAGTACTCAAACTCAATTATTTTCATAGCTATTTTAAACTGTAACTCGAAGAAAGCGATCTTGATGTTTAAGGCTTCTTTTTGTGTTAAAGGCAGAATTGTGCTTACAGATTTAAGCTTTTATTTCTAAGCACCTTTGCCACTCTTATTTTAAACTATCAAGAATGATCAGCAGGCAATCTGTATCTGATGAAGTAACTCTTCCGTCTTGCACACTGGTCAGTGAGTCATCATTGAGTCATCATTAAGTAACAAGCTACCACCACACATCTAACAGACATTAAAAATTTTACTAAATCCAAGAATTTTTCTTCTGTTGCTTGAATAATATTTTACACATGAATTTAAAATCTGGAACAGCCTAATAAGAACAATGTGCTACACCACCACAAAATAGCAATTCTTTTTCCACTAGCCTGCCAGTGCCCCCAGGGTTGTCACAGGTAGAACATGGAACTGCATCATCAGACCCGTCTACAAAAGCCCTAAAATATATTATCTGAGTTAATTCTACAAAAAAAGACAAAGAAAAGGATAAACAAAATTAAAAAATATACAAATTTCATCCACATCATACAGCAGTAAAACCAGTACAAGTTCAACTTTCATCTTTGTTATAATTACCTATGTACCTTCCATGATAGCAAATTACAATGTTTATTATTAGACTGATGGCAGAACAGACTTAAATGAAACTGTCCTTGGTAGAAATCTAGAAATATAAAATTTTAAACAAATTAAAAATGTAGTGAAAGTGTTTCAGCAAAACCAAATCTGTCTTCCAGGTTACAGGGTTTTGTTGCCCAAAAAACACTGGGTAATGACAGTAATCCTTCCTGTCCCTCATTTAAACCCACAGCATATTTGCTTTAAATAAAAGTCAAGAAAACAGCATAGAGGTGTTATGTTCCAGTTTTCTCTTTAAACAGAGAACAACTTACATCTGCTTAAGGAACCTGCAATAACTGGAATGTGCTCATCATGCTTTCCTGGTCTACTTTTCAAAGCTTCACACAGCTGATCATAGCAGGTAAAATAGATTGCTGTGGTAGGAATTGCCATTATTCTAAAATATAAGAGAAGAAATTTAAATTAATACCAGGAAAGCAGGAGAATAAAGTCAACTATCTTGTATTGATATTTTACTTATATTTTAAAAAAAACTAAATTTCCAGCTGTGTGTAATGGATTAATTAAAAAAAAAACAACATTAATCCCATAGCTTTGATTCACGGCTTGTAGTTCAGTGTTTCAAACCCACACATTTCCCAGGTTTTCATTTCATTAGGGAAAATGGTAAGTAAAATGATGGTTGATTATCTCAGTCAAAATCTATTCCATACCAGCTACAGAACTATTTTGGTAAAGAATGGGAAATTGGTAAAGATCTGAAAATGAAGAACCCAAACAAAATCTACACAAGTACTACTAACCTTAACTTTTATTTATGTAACAATTGGATATTATGCTCTTGATCAACAGCCATGACATTAATTACTTGAGAGAAAATATAGTATGCACAAATATAAGCTTTTTCCGTACCAGCATAGTACAGGCTGTAGTAGCAACAAGTAGAGTCAATAATCATTCAGTGTAGGAGGAAAGCACCACATCTTACTATAATCTGGCAATTACACTTCTGTGTTATGTCTGTGCCAATGCAGCATGTACCACATTAACAAAAACCACTGAGGACTGTCATGCTTGGCAAACCAACATGGCTTAGTTTATATGTTCTCTTCTACTTGTGTGACTTTCTCCACTAAAGAGGTTAGTTCTTTGCTGGAGAACAAAACATGTTCTTTGTAAAAAAAAACTGTAGTGACTGGAGCAGTTCAGTCAGATTCTAAGGTTTATATTTTGAAATTGCCACATACTGGAGGGTAAACAAGGCTGAACTCCATCATGCTTTTCTTTTTTTGTGTCTATACACTGAGCACTGTCTGCAAATCAAAAGTGTACCAGTGCTTCCCACTGGGCACATCACACTTTGTGCCTTCTTAGATTTGAAAACTTTTTTGGTTTATGAAGGAGAACATTATTATAGAGGTCTTAATTTCTATCTGTAGGTTAATATGAATAAAAAGATAAAACAGTTTGGGGCTGTTAAACCTAAAGAGAATACCAGGAGGAGATCTGATTGCTGTGTTTAAATATGTAAATTGCTCTTGTAGAAAGAAAATGAATTATCTGTTTATCCAGACAGAATAAAACCCCAAAGTTCTTTGAAATAAAGAAGATGATTACAAAAATTAAGTGAGGGTAATGAGGTGGAACACCAGAGTGTCTGGAAACAGCTGTGCTGCTGATAACAAGTCATTAAGTAACAAGATACAACAGGAATGTGTTGAAGACTGACCCTCTCAAGTGACAAGGTCCCATCCTGTGATTTGATGATGCTATCAAAGGAATGGTTATAGCAGGGGAAAAAAAAAAGCAGAATGAGAAGTCTATTGATCCTGCTTAAGTACTGAGAATGTATCAAGAAATTCTAACATCTGGTAAAAATTATACTGTCCATAGACATTTCTGATTCAAGTGATTAGTCTGAAACGTCATAATTGACCAAATTTTTAAAATAACTTAGAAATAAGCATAATAATTTCTCAAAAATAATTTAGTAATTTTTTTAACAATAACTTACAGCATGTTAACAAAAAACCCATTCAACTTACAGTGTTGGGGGAAGCCCACTCCACAGCGACTTAATTCCCTCTATTCGAATAATTTTCACAAATGCATCCTAAAAATATAACCAGGCAAAGAGCAATAGTTAGCTACAAACTTTTGTAGCTAGTAATACATTTTAGCTGGCAGAACACAAAACTAATGTCTTTAAAAGTATGTTTTTAAAATGGCTTATCATTATAAGATCTCAATTTTATAACTGCTTACACAAGCTATCTTGTCATGCAATACACTTAATCATGCAAACAGTTCCACTGAGCTAAACAGAATAATTTATGTGACTGAAATTAAGAATTTCCTTCCATCTTTAAAAAGGCAAAGTACTAAGTGTTTATCAGTGACTGACAGCCCCATGAATAACTATTTTCAGTACTGATATGGTATTGCTGCAATTGGTGGAAACTTCCCCAAAAATCCACTAAATTTTTTTTTTTTAATATGTAGCAGAGTTTCTAGGAGTGAAATAGCAACTAATTCTCACAGATTCTTCAATACTTCCTCTGACAACATGACCCCATACATGCAATGTGTATACACTGTACCATATACAAGCTTTCAATTATTATTACAGCTGTCCTGTATATTCCCAGGAGACTGACAGCACAAGAACACTAAACTTTGAAGATCATTCAGCTGAAATCACAAGCAAAACCACAAACTCTGTAGTGTCAGGATATTAATTTTCTTAAAACATCTGGGGAAAGAGGTTGGGATTCAATGGATCAGAATATGCCTAAGACGAGACATTACTACAGACCCTCAAAAGACAGAGTCTGGCAGACCAGAGAAAGGACTGAGAGGAAGAAAAAAGCAAATAGCTTTAGAGGAGACAGCCTTAATGGAATTATAGTGTGAGGTAAGAAGTTGAATGGAAAAACCAAAAAAAATCGTTTATTACAACAAACCTGATTAGCTTTGAAAGGAAGCCCAGAATCCCTAGAGGTCCGAACATGGTTTAACAAAAAAGACACTTTTATACTAGCCAGTTAATATGTTTGTAACCCAGCTTCAACAAGTTTACAAAACAGGAAGGGATAGATGAAAGTTAAGATTCATTTTTTTTAAAAAAAAAGAAGTTATGTGATAGTCATTCTTCTTTAAGAATCACCTTTTATGGCAAAACCAGGCATAAATTCATGTCTAATAGAAAACTATTTAACTTTCTAAAATTACATACCAAAGGTAACTGAAAAAAATCACACTTGTAAAGTTATTAATTTTAAAAAAAACCTTTTAAACTGAAGACACCTTTTGCATTAACATCCCATTCTCAAGATTTTAATTCTGAAAAATTCTTGATCATCTGTTTAATTTCATGGCAGAGTCAAAACAAAAATTGACTAATGAACCAGCATGACAGTATCTGCCAGCAATTCTGGTTCAAGTGTTTAGGAAAATGCTACTCCCACAAGTCTAGATACTTGACAGGATAGAGATTCTCTGGATAGAGAACTTGACACATGAACTTAACTTTAAACACTATCTGCACCATTAGTTCAGCTCAGAAGCATATTGGGAGATGTGCGGGTTCAATGGATGTAAGCAGGAAAGAGAAAATTATTACCTGCAATTAGCAACTACTGCCAATATAGCTAAAGTAGGGAAAATCAAATCATAAAGCCAGTAACCTGGGAGGAGAGCTGTGCAGCTGCCTCCTTGCTCATCTTAAGGAAGGAATATGTATTTTTTTGCAGACAGTAGATGGTATCATTAATCAGCAGTGTAACCACATGAAGGCCCTCTCAAATAACAGATTCCAGTAGAACCCGAAAAACCCTGAAAACTTTGGAGTATGCTACTTAAAAATGCACAGTTTTCTATAAATGTAAAATGTTCTTACCAATGTCCCTTTGAAATGCCCAGGATTTTTATACCAGGCTTTGCTGTCCCCATTTTTACAAACATACACATGATCCATATGGCCACTGGAGTTTACAAGACACTTTCCTAAAAAATGGTGCATAAGAATATAGTTAATGCTTATAAGATTGTTTTTATGCAGCAGCAATTTTCAAATTGGATATAATGGCAACACAAATTTATCTCTGGTTAGACACAGAGGGGCAAAATAATTTTGCTAAGTCAGTAATGACAAATTAGGTCAAAAGAGACAGGGTACAAATTTACTCCTCAGACTGCCCAACTAAATAGAACTGCCTTCACAAGGCTCCAAGAGACATGTTTAGGTTACATTACCATCTGCTGAAAAGTAAAACTAATACAAGACCCGAATGTCACTATTATATGTAACTGTGAACATCTTTTAAATCTTTTATTAAGTAGCCTCAGCATCCACTTCAAGTGGAGGTATTGTATCTTATCTGTATTATTATTATACCTTATCTTGGTCTGTTTTTATACTAGATCATCCCCTCCATTTGTTTTTTATTTCTCCTACATTATGTACTTTCAACCTGTTTGATAAAATATTATTGCTATTACAAAAACATACTTCAAGCTTCACATTTGCAGATTTCTGAAGGCTTTAGAACTTACTCAAAAACAGGATAGAAGGCAAAAGTATTTTTCTTAATTTAATTTGCAAGTGTGACTGCAAATACTCACCTCCACATTCAACATGAAAAACCAGTCATCTTCTTTTCTTTTAAATCTCATATACTAAGTACAAGTAAATAGTAGGAACCATTAGCACATCTTTGAGAGCACAATATCTTCATCTATTTAGAACCCAAGTGGCAAGTGACTTGTTAAGACTTCTCCATTTCAAAAATCTCTGGATTCTGGAGGAGATGAACTTTGATATAACATCCTGACCACATAAGCCCTCTGATGAAATATTTATTTATTTAGTAACAGCTTTTTATTGTTCGACTCAACTCAGTATTAGTTGTATGTTCTGCCATAATGAAAATACTAAGACAGGGACAAAAGGCCTGTTTAAAATCATATGGATGTATGGGATTTTTTGCTGTTGTGCCATAGTACATATGGTGTGTTCCTCTTCCCCCCACGCCCCCAGTTATATTGGAGAAACAGGCTCAAACATTCTGCACCTCAGCACAGCACTATGACAACTATCAGCTAAATACAAGAGCAAAAAGCAAACTGTGTCCCCCATTACACCACACATTTGTTTGTTTACCGTCATGGAATGGATTCCTTTGGGCTTGCAGTCGAGTTTTGATAACATCAAGAGGAGTTACTAAAATGAAACAGAAGGCATTTAGAAACACCCTGGATGTCTTGGAAATGTGGAAGTTTACAGATGCCTTATTAAGAACTTGGAAATGTGGAAGTTTACAGATGCCTTATTAAGAACTTCTAGAATCTTTTTTTTTGTTTCCAAAGTGGGGGGGAAACACCTAAAAGATTTTACAATGTCATCAAGCAGAGAGAAAAGGGATGTCAGCAGACAAATACAATGCTATCAGAGACAAAGGAGAACTACACACCTTATATGGTTTGCAAGATATCAAATCTGTCTTTTCTAATTTACTAACAGCTGCATAGGCATGAAATATTACAAATACACAAAGCTCATTCAAAAACCACTGTATCATGTTGTCTAAAATTGCTTTTATAAGTAGCATACCACAAGGCATACAAGATCAAATTTTGGTCTCCGGCATATAAAACAGCAAAGCATTTTCTTCATGTGTTTGCTCTTTTTCAATTAAATGACCATAATACAACTTTTAAAAAAAAGTTAAATTTATTATGCACTTTTCTTTTTTCCTGCATGTAGCCAATATGTAAAACACTGGGCTTCTTGAAAAGTAAGTGAAGGTTTAGTGAACACTTCACTGTTTCTACTGCAGCCCTTACAATTTTCACAGGCTGAGACATGCTGAATGCTGCAGTGCCTGGGCAGCTGGACCATCCTGCTCTGAATATATCGGCTGAGGGCTCGATTCCACACTTTAGTAGAAACATACACAAGCAGACATCATGCTGAGTCAAACTGAAAAGTAATTACTTTGTAAGAGTCTCTCTTACAAGTAGTAGAGAAGAAGTGGCCAGCTTCATAGATTGCCTTACCAAATAATGATGTAATTATAGCTCCACAACAAGAGGCTATTGCTTGCTGAACAATGGTTAGTTTTTGAACATGGATACCACTCATTTCAGCCATGGCTTCATCCCCAGACAAGAAAAAAACCTGTTAAGGAGCAGAAAAACATATTGTAAGACGACACTCAAAATTTGCAGAAAAAAACTCAAGGGATAAATATTTTCAATTTTCATTACTAAGTTATGTAGAACCAGCAATATTACTTTTCTACTCATGTAGAAGCATCTCAGTAATTTTTGAGATATTTTGAGCCATGTTTTGCAAGTAAGCTTTCTAAAGACAATAAATCTTCAAAATCCTTCCTAAACGAATTACAACGTTTACATGTTCTTGTAAATCACATGAAATGTTTAACATTTCATTTTATTGCCTTTAACTGCAACAAAGTATTTACAAATGGTCCTTAATGCCAATAATCCTTACAAAGACAAACTCCCAGCCTGTAGCCCATAAACTGAAGCACTGCAGAATAATTGACCCAGCCCTTCTCTTGCTCCCGTCTCTCCTGAGAGAACCCCGAAAGGTCTCCTGGCTGCCACAGCCTGCTGTGATGACTGTGCCCGGGCAGGCTCCTGGTGTAATAGGCAAGGACTAGCTACTAATGGTGACACCATCAGATGTTAATTCCTTGAACGAATCCTGCTCTACGGCTGCAGAGGCACGGTCACAGCAATTTAAGAATGCAGTCACAATATGTGCAACTAGCCAGGACAGAAGAAGATAATAAAAGAAGATAATAAAAACACTTCAGAAAATAAAGTCTCCAAATAGAGGTGCGTCTTTAAAAATGCACCACTGTGCTTAAGTATAGCCCTAACTTTGTTAGAAACATTGATCTAAACTTTTCGTTGACTTCGCAAGAACGTTTTTGTTATTTGCACTACACTTAAAGTCAGATAAAAAAGATTTGTTGCACAAACCAACTCTGGCTTCTCAGGTGCTAACAGCTGCAACGGTGGGTGGGGATATTGTTTATTTTTCACGTATCTTTACCTCGGAAGGGGACCGCTGCCCAGAATTGCGTACATACCCGTTTACCGGCGGCGCCAGCCGGGGGCCAAAGGTCTCCACGACTCAAGGACAGTCCGGGCTGCGGCGAGGGCAGAAGAACGCTGCCACTCCTATACCTCCTCCAGAGTCAAGGCAGCCGAGCTCCGGCCCCACAACCTCCTTCCCTCCTTCCCCGCCTTGCCCGGCCTTCCGCCCGCCCCTCGGCGGGAGGGGCCGGCCCGCGCGGGCAGTTGGTGAGGGCGCAGCAGCCGCTGCGGCGGAGGCGGGAAGGCGGCGTGGAGCGGCTGTGCCGATCGGGGCTGCCGGCGGAGCAGACCACGATGTGACTCCGCGGGAAGATGAAGCCGAGCGCTGCCGAGGCCGCCGACAAAGGAGCGCGTCCCCGTAAGCGGCGGGGGGCTGTGGGCAGCGCCGGGGAGCTGCCGCCGGTCGGGCCTTTCTCAGGCGGTGCCGCCATCCCGGCTGGGGCTGTGAGGCGCCGCCGCCGCCTCGTGCCGGGCTTGGGCCCCGGCCGCCCTCGGGCTGGCGCTGGAGCGGGGGCGGCTGCAAGGGCCCTCGTGTGTTGTGGGAGTTACTCGTACGAGCGTGCCCCTGGTGTGTGGGACATGGCCGGGCCGCCGCTGGGCCAGCTGCTCCCCCGGGCTCCTCTGGTGTCTGTGTGGAGGGCTCCTTAGGCCCAGTGTGAGAACGCACCCCCTTTGCGAGAGAGACTCTTCGTTGCTATTGCAGTCGTGTTAATGCGCTCCAAACTTTAGATTATCCTTGAGAGGTTTAATCTGCGTGCTCCAATTAATTCCAGCGTTTAGAGTGTTAATTTTTAAACAGTCCTGGCGTGTGTGTTGTGAGTATGACGCTTATTTAGTCGGTGATCATTACAGAATTTTCCTTGCACACTTGCTTATCATCCATCTTTTCTGTTTAGATTCTGGATCAGTTGCACCAATCTCCTAATTTTCTTATTTTTCTAGGTTTTTTTGTCTTCCAGATCCTACAAAACTGAGTGCTGTTCCTCTGTTCCTTAGTGTGCTCATAAGCCCTAGAGGATTTTGCAGCACGAGTAGTGGTTCTGCTCCCTTGCCTGCCTGGGACTCCTTCAGGGAGGGAAGGAATCAATCCCTAACGGAGGGACTGTTTTGCATGTTGCCTTTTTGTCTCCAGAAGAGGCCTGCTCACTTCCTGTGGCAGCTCTCATTGTCTTGAGCTTCTCCAAAAGAGAAACAACTAGGATTAAGCAAGTGAGGAAGAAAAACCAGTGTAAAACCAATATGTGTAATTGTGCTTTGAGCAACGTGTTGTAGTAGTGAAAGGTGTCCCTGTTTATGGCAGGGAGGTTAAAATTAAATGATCTCTAAGGTTCCTTCCAGCCCAAGCCTTTCTATGCAAGCTTGCTCCATCCATTTCCATAATTTAGGAATTTTCCTTTTCAAAAATAAAACCAAAGTCCAGTTCTGTTTAAATTGCCTGTTTTTTTGTTTTTGTTTTTTTTTATTTTCCCAGAAGATGCAATACAAGCAAAACCAGAAAAGATAAGATCTTCCCTGAAGAATGTGAAGAAAGATGCAGGAAAACCGGAGAAACTTAAATTTAAGCCGCTCACTGGGAAAGTGTTTTACCTCGATATCCCATCAAATGTGATCTCTGAAAAGTTAGGAAAGGACCTCAAAGAGCTGGGAGGGGTAAGTTAATTATAGAGACTTACATGAACCTAGAAGGAAATGTGCACATGTTGAATCCCTTTTTTGTGTTCTTTATGACTGCATTTTAATATTACTTGTAGTTACCTGAGGTGGTGTCTTATTTTTCCATCTTTGTCTTAATCCAAATTAAGGAGCTTATCAGCAAACTATTCTGTGGGTTTTCAAGAGAAGCTGCTTTCCTGATTGGAACAAAAGTTCTTATTAGGCAGTTTTGTTTACAGTTGATTATTCACCTGGCTTGAGATTTTATCCAAATTCATAAGGTTTCATTGTTCAAGGTGATTTTTCTTCTACATGCCAACATGTATTGGCATGTTTACATGTTACAACTCACAGTGTTCAGCTGAACCTAAAAAAGACTAAAGGAAGAGTTTTGTATCTGTTTTCTGTAAGTCAGCAACTTCCCTAACAATGTTTTGCACAGGGTATCTTAGTGACTGTTTTTGAATACTCTTAAACAATAAATTTTATAAACATCTTAATAATTTTTTCCTAATTCTTCTTTCTGTATGGAGGGAGCTCTTTGATACAAGCAAGTACAGAATACTTGTGTGGAGGGCACTTAGAAGTGCCTCTCTCTGTGTATCCTGTTTCTGTAAAAGATCCATAGAGCAGAATTGAAATGCACAGTTTCAAGTTGTGTGATTGTGCTTTCCACAGTGATGAGTGGAAAAGAGGAAAATATTTCAAACTGTACCATCTGACATGAAATAGCGAGGCACTTGGCTGTTGGTCACACTGTAGTTGGCAGTGAAAGAGACTGAAAGAGCAAAGTGGAGGAGTAAACTCAGAATTATGACATTTTTATATTGCTGAGTAGGAGAATATGAATCTACTTGAGACTTTACCTTTTTGAGAAATGTTGTGGAAAATGTAGGTGGGAAACATGATAGCTATCCTGAAATTTTAGTTTTTCTGCTGGTCCTAAACTCAGTGAATTTATAGCTTCTTGAAGCCTGTAAATCCCATTTGCAAACACCTGTCTTTAAGTTTCCCTGAACACTTCTCTGTAATTTCTGTTACATAAAATTAGAGAGTTGCTTTTCTTAAATTAATATGTTATTCCTTAATGCAGTGTTTGCGTTCTTGTAATTGTAAAGTATTACAGGTAGGTAGTATAAAATTATAATGACCAGAACAAAGCAAAGCTTTTTTAATAGTTATTACAAAATTAAGAAATTTAAATTACAAATTAGAATTTGTGACTGGGAAGATGCTAGTACAACTTAATTGTCATTGTCATCCAGATATGTAGAAAATATTTTCTTGTTAACTCAGTGTTTTTGAACTTGTTTGAGAAGTTTTATCACTTTCCTTTAAAATATTCAATGTACAGTTGAGTTACTGATCTATTGTCCTGAAAATATGACTTGCTTTATATCTTTATATTTAGAGAGTGGAGAGTTTTCTTAGTAAAGATATCAACTATCTGGTGACAAATAAAAAGGAGGCAAAATTTGCACCAACTCTTGGCCAGATTTCTCCTGTTCCTAGTCCAGAATCTGCACCTAATGGAGGAAATGGTTCACCTCATCCTAGCAGCCGAAAAGATCGACATGATGGCAGTTCATTCAAGATAGCAGATACAGTAAGTTTCTTAGTAATAATACTGCAAATCAGGTGCAGTCCATGGGATATGCTCCTACAGTTGTTCTCTGATTTTGTTTCCTAAAGGTGGCAGCAGTTCCTTGGGTGAATAGGGATTTTTCTTTGAAACACTCTTAAATTTATTCAGGCTAACTTGTTAAACTTATCTAACTCAAAATAATTCAGCAAATTTGTTGGAACTTGTTTTACAAAGGATCAATTTTTGCAAATAAGGAGAGTATACCCAAATATGTTCTAATTTACTATGTCTGACTTACAACACTGATGTTGTGTTTGACAGCTGGATCAGGCACATCCAGTGATTTCTGTCTCTTTAGCAACACAGCCTATTAAAATTTGGCTGATTTATGTTGTTAATGCTGATATTAGCAGAAACACTCTCTGATAGTAGTAGGAATAAAATTGAGCATTATGAATATTAAGTTTTTCTTACCTCTTTCTTAGGGAATCACATTAATTGCAACAGTGAGTATCTGAATTTATGAAGGTTTATGTGAAGTTTCTTACATGGGCAAGTTGTATCCTTTCAAAATGCAGTTGAAAATCATTAGCTGTATATATATGGTGCTTATTTAGAAACATGACCAGGCTGCAGGCTGGTCTTTGTGTTGCATGAGAGAGGTCACCTCATTTTGCAAACAACCTGGGTAGGTAAAGGCAGCTCATTATGAATGAACAGCAAAAAGTGGA